CTACACTGAGAGTCGATGGCTCTGCAGAGTTTCAGGCAATGAGTCTTACGCAAGCCCTACCTGGAGGGCTCTGAAAAAATTGTCTCTGAAAATTTTTACACATCACTTGGGAAGACAGGTGAACTAATGTCTGTGTACTGGAAGAAGCAAAGACCACCAGTGTCGAAGCAGTGATTCTTCAATATCAACTTCCTTGGACTGCTCATGTTGTGTGGATGCCTGATTATCGTCTTCCAAAGCAACTACTCTATTCCGAACTTAAAAATGGAAAGCATAAGGCTGGTGGTCAACAAAGGAGGTTTAAAGACTCTCTCAAGGCTAATCTTAAAAAATGTAGTATAAACACCGACAGCTGAGAACCACTGGCCTGTGGGTGCTCCAATTGGAGAACAGCCTTTACCAAAGGTGTCATGGGCTTTGAAGATGCTTGAGCTCAGGACGAAAGGGAGAAACGTGCTAAGAGGAAGGCACGCTTGGCAAACCCTCACCATGATCAACTCCCACCTGGAAACCAATGTCCCCACTGTGGAAGGATGTGTGGATCCAGAATTGGCCTCCACAGTCACTTACGGACTCACTGTTAAAACCATGTTCATGGAATACAAACTTACTCGACTATGAGTGATCGCCAAAGAAGAAGGAGACCTGGCGATGCTGGGGATTGAACCTGGGAGATTCTGCATGCGGAGCCCATGCTCTCCCACTGAGCTGTGGCTCTTCCCACTGGACCAGCCTGATAACTGATAGCAGCAATGCCATATTTCAGGCTTTGCAACCTCCACTGCCCATCTTTTCTGTTTATCACCATGCATATCAGACTTGTTCTTCTACATCTCCTCTCCCAGCTGATAGATGCAGGAGCAATAGATCTCAGTTCACTATGAGCAACTAGCGCCTCCTTCGGTCTTTTAACAGGCCACGCAAATGTGACAGCTGCCCCCGAATTAGGTAAAGTGGATTTTAATGATAGTTTTCTCTCTGGCCTGGAATGTCCCTAGGAGGGCAGGCACACTCTTTTACAACGTGCCTGTAAAAATGTCTCACTGATTATAATGTTAAGCTAATGCATATGTTTATTGTTATTAGTTCCAATCAGCTATTATTTATAATAGTGGTTGTATTATTAGCATTACAGCTGCCATCAGTTCATTGGGTAAATATTCAAAGCAGACTAGTCAGAAAGAACCAAAACTATAAACATCACAGGCTTATTGCAAAGGAGGCTGTGATTATAGTTTCCAATAAAATCAAGTTTATTTATTCTTAACTTAAGAGGCTGCTGCTATTTGGATTCCTGTTTCCTTACAGCATCTTTTCAAATTCTTTGCAATCCATTTACCCACATTTTTTCTTAGAAAAAATAATAAGCACTTAAGGGTGGCCATGTCTCCTAGTGCAGTGGTTGCCAGTTAGTGACTGGCCCATGGCACCATTTATGTAACAAAAACTACTATCAAGATATCAAAATTTTCAAAAGTAGGGGGTCCATGGCTTGGCTTTTGAAAAACAAGGAGTCCACAGTACTTAGCTAATTGGGAGCCACTATCCTAGTGCATTTGAAAGGCTGTCCAGTCCATGTCTGGTTTAAAGATACAGGGGCCATGAAGATGTCCATCAAATTGAGCATAGGTCACTTGGTTGCAGTCTTCCCCACTATGGTGATATGTAATTTATTCCTATTTCATTTATAGTAAAAATATAAATAAAAAATTGCACCAGTGAATGTAAGTTAGCATATTAATTTTCAATGCACATCTGTGTCCTCTTTTTGGCATAAGCGCCCCCTCCCCACCTTTGATATTTTGTCAGTTTCATTTACCAACTCTGCTTTAGGTCAGAAGCTTCTTTCCTCCAAAGCACACTTGTTTGTTCCCAAAAGACTCACAATTTGATTGGTGGTACAGCTAGGCTTAGTTTAGACCCTGGGCTTAATGATCTTAAAGGTGGACAGGGAGGGCTTTAGACAACCATGTGAAATACTTCTCTTGTGAAACACACATTTCTCTTCTCACACTCGCCCACCACCACCACCACCACCATTCCATGATTCTATACCTTCTGTGCTCCCTGCTTTACAACTGACATGTTATAGCAAAATCCAACAGCCCTGGTTGTTGTTGTTGTTTTTTTTAAAAAGGAAAGGTTTTAAGTGTGTGCAGATTTGTATTAAAACTCACTTAAATCATAGCGCCATCATAATTAAATTAATAAAATGGAGTTTGCTTTTGCTAGTCTGCACTAGATACATTTATTTGGGAATAAAACCCATCTTCTTGTAGAAAATGATAATAAATATTATGAGGATCTGCAACCAAGTGTGTGCCTGGTCGGCCAGCCCCTAGCAATGCATAACAGGAAATAATGGTACTGTGATGAGCCCCAGCAACAATGGGCTCTAGCATGTCCATGCAGGCTTTCATACTGATACAGAGCTGGTTTGCAGCTGTTCCTATCATCGACTACTGGGTGTCATTTGGGTAGTGAGCAGGTTGGAGTTCAACCCTGAGGTCCAGCCTTAACTACACTGAATTTAACTAGTTATACGACTTGGGAGTACAGAGTACACCAGCACGTTCCTTTAGCAACTAAAGAACTGGCCTCACTGAAGGTAGGTAGGTGTTTCTTCATCAACTCCTTATGAGTCTTGAGTTGCAATCCTGACCCCTTCACCAGTTGGCACTGGTAGGGTACCAACCCTATTTCTGTGGGGTTGTATGCAGTTCCCCCTTTTGGAAAAAGATAGAGGCAAAATAGGAGTCATGCTGTGAAACAAATAACCTAACTGGCATTTCGGTCTGAAACACATTTATTTTAAGTCCCATTGACATCAACAAGGGAGGGTGAGAAATTCTGCTTAGTGTGCATTTTATTGCAAACCTAATTCTCACTTCTCAAAAACAACATGCAGACATATATCCTTTGAAATTCACACTTCTCTGAATTTTGTAATACAGGAGTTTAAAACAACCACCGAGTTAATGCAGAAGTGTGGAGAACTGAATTTAACATTGGAAAAACATGAGACAGAGAGAAAATGTAATTGACCAATTTGGCCATCCCTACTGAATTCCAGTAACTATCCATTTCCAAGAGCCATCCATTTCAGCCCCACCCCCCATTGAATTATCCCCTTCTTTCTGTGTCTCTTCTCTCCTTCTGAGCTCTCCTCACCTGCACAACTCTGGGGAAGGGCCATCGCTCAGTGATAGAACATCTGCTTTGCAAGCAGAAGGTCTTTAATTCAAGCTCTAGTAGACTCCCAATCTGAGACCCTGGACAGCTGCTGCCAGACAGCATGGACACTGGATAGACCATTGATCTGTCTCAGTATACAGCAGCTTCCTACATTTCACATGTAGGATGCATTCACTCCATCCTCCGCTGTGCCATATTGGTCTTAGGGACATTCACACAATAAGAAAATAGCACTCTCTTAAAAGGCTTTTTACTCCTAATGTTGGTTTGCCATTTTTTGAATACTAAGCTCACATCCTGTTGTCTCCCTCCCCCTCTGCACCCTCCTCAATATCTGTGTCCTATTTTGTTGGCCCAGTGCTAGGGAGAAGCTTGTCTTCTTCCTCCCTCATTTTGTTTAAAACTGGCTCAGTAGATCTTTTTATCCTGGTGTGACACCATTGGAATAATGTGATAGATTAAACCCAGGCTGTCAATTAATTCCTAAACAGGCTTAATTTAATTTTCCTTCTCAAATAAACCCAATTTACCTCCATGGAGGTGTGACACGTCTGATTAGACACAGAGAGGCTGGGAGGAAGAAAACCGGGGTGTGTGTGTGTGTGTACCTGTAACACTATGTGATAAGAGATCAAAGCGAACAGATCTCCTCAATACTTCTATTAGTCATTCAAAAGGGACCTTATTTCAAAATTCCCTCTCTAACTCTTTAATTAGAACGATAATTACTCCGGATTCTGATGGAAAAGAGAGTTTAAAGGTCAGTCCTTATTTTAAAAAGTAGATTTAGGGAAATTAGAAAAATTAGATAAAGATAAATAAGTCTTGTGTAGGCTGCATTCCTCAGCAAAGAAATGCTTAGCATGCAGGTCTACAGGCAGAAGAGCAAGGATGGGGTAATTGTCACCTTTTGGTTTCCCTCAGTTTCTCATTTTTTTTCAAATCTTAAGTTCAGTTCTCCACAAGTCAACATCAATTTGAATATTTTTCAAAGGCGCATTGAAAATTCACCAGCATTTTTTGCAAATTTCTCCTAACGTACACATTTTTGTGTGCAACTTGTGTAATAAACAATTTTTTGCAAAACCATGTTCTCTAATAAAATGCATCTATATGTGTGTTATTTTCCCTTATGTATGTGTTTTTATCTTCACTTTACCTTAGTACATGCATTTCTACACACATTACTTGGCTGGAGAACTGCCCTGCAAAATTTGGAGACATGCAAATTTCAAAGGATGACTTCCTTTTGGTTCATGTATTGATTTGGTACATCTCATTTTGGGTGTGATCTGTGCACAGAGTGACTTTGCCTGGCAACAGAAGGCCCAGAAAAGGATACAGGAGTCAGAGTTGTGTCTCCCCTGGCAGCTTCTTGTGAGATATCATGGAATACTATCATCATGATTTTGGTATTGCTTTATTGCTTTTGTTTCTTTGTTTTTTACTATTAATGTTGTGAGATTGACTGGTCAGGGGTGGCCAGATGTCAAGGGGGACAGGGCTCCTGCAAGTTTAACTATTGGGGAGAAGATTGGGATTGATGGGAGTTGTAATCGAACATCTGGAGGACCATAAATTTCCTACCCCTGTTTTAACTTTACTTGGAAGGAAGTGCCATTACACTTAATGGGATTTACTTCCCATGTGAGTTTTAATGAAACACTAGCCTGAAACACTAGTGTTACTTCAACTAAACCCCTCCCTTCCAACCAAAATGAATTGTAGAATCATAGAACTGTAGAGTTTGAAGGGACCCTGAGGATGCTCTCAATCCAACCCCCTACAGTGCAGGACTACGCAGTTGCCCCATACGGGGATTGAACCTGCAACCTTGGCATTACCAGTACAATGCTCTAACCAAATGGGCTATCCAGGCTTAAGCTTGTAAGTATCTTTGTACACCTGCTCACTCCCATTCTTGTTGCCCTTTCCTTGCCTATTCCTCTTCTCTCTGTGTTGCTTGTTATCCTTGCCTCTCCTTTCCCTTATCTCCCATTTTTGTCTCCCTTGTATTATCTGTTTGACTAATGAGTTCAGACTACGTACAGGTGCTAGTAACTAAAGTGATTTATTCACAAGGTTATATACCACGTCCTGGACAGTCTGATGCCATCCTACATCTGGCCAAGGGAACAGATGGAATGGGTAGTCTGGATTATTTATGCTTTAAAGTCCAGTGCATAGTTAATCCACTATGTCTAAATGCAACAAAGCCCACACTGTTGAACTTTAGATGGTAAGGTTCTCAAGGCAGAGACCTGGATTTTTGCGCTTTGCTTAAAAAAAAAAAATTTTTTTTTAGTAATATTTTTGCACCAAGTACAAACTGACTTAGTCTGCAAAGAGTACTCTACATCATCTCATCATCTTGCTTACAAAGTGCAGTATTAATCATATGTTCTCTAAAATCCTATACCAGGCATGTCCAAAGTCTGTTTTGGGGGCCTAATCTGGCCCACAGGTCGATTTAATCTGGCCCCCATTGCAGTGTATGCCGTGGGGTGAAATCCTTAAAAAAGCTCAGCAATTTTGGGGGGAAATTGTTTAAAAAGCTCAACAATTTCAGTGTATGTTATTTTCCCTTTCCTAAGATCCTAAAAAAAAAACAACTGAATTTTTTGGGGGTAAACATCAATCCTAAAAAAAGCTCATGCCCTCATGTATGTTCACTTCATCAAATCTGGCCCTCTTTGAAAAAAGTTTGGGCACCCCTGAGGTCCTACACACACATTTGTTGTTAATCTTGAGCCTAGGAAGAGTTCTGTGAATAGGCATGTTGCTCTCCATCTATCCTATTAATAAAGGTTTTGTGATATCTGTAATAAAGGTTTTATTATATTGTTCAATTGAAATATCCCCAAAACACACTTTACTTTCCATGGAAGTCACAGGCAAAATCCCTATGACACACCTGGGTCTTTTTGGGGTACACTGCAGGTGCCACATACTACCTGGTCTGCATTTGTAAGAATTTGATCACTTATTGTTGTAGTGCCCACACTTTGGAATTCCCTGCCTATTGAGATCAAGTAGGTGCCTTCACAATATACTTTTTGGCACCAGCTAGGCAAGCCTACCCAGATGCTTAGAAATGGGATAATTTGAATCTGTTTTAGTATTTTAACTTTTGTATTCTTTAAGCATGGCTGTGTTTTTTCTTGATTTTACTGGCTTATCTTTGGTAAACCACTTTGAGGTTTTTTTACAATCAAGCAGTGTACAAATTTGATGAAATAGATAAATAAAATAAGAACAAAGAACAGAAGCAGCTACATGTTTGGGTGTAGGTCTGTCTACTTTTCAGTGATCATTAGGAGGCCTGGAATTGAAAAGCTGAAGAATGGCAAAAATGAACAGAACTTTTCAGAGGGGGGCCAAAATGCTATCTAGAGTGGTGGCTTGAAAGTTGTACAGGGCTTTCATGATTAGCAGGACTGCAAGATCAACGTGGCTGTTCCTGCTGCTTGAAATTTTCCTTTGTGCATTTGTAGTATGTTGAAATATATGCCCATTTTCTCCCGGGCACCACTTGTTAAATCTTTTCAGTATGCTTGAGCCAAATATTTTGTACAATCTGTAAATGTAAAAATGATAGTTGAGGTCAGAAAGCTTTTGTACAAGTGAAGTCAACATCTATCATTTTGATGACATGGTAGGCATATCAAGCAGAATTGTAAGAAAGCAAAAAGGTACGGCGTTTTATCCAACAAAGTTCTTCTCAGAGTAGTTGGTCTTCTCAGAGTATGGCTAAGATTAGATACAGCCCTTGGTATGACCCAAAATGCCAAGTGACTCTTCAATACCACAGAGGATATTTTGAAAACATGAAACTGAAGGCATTTATCACTCCAGTTGCCCCAAAGTGCTACAGTCATTCTGAACTGTTTTGTCTGAAAGGTGAGACCTCATAGTTTTTAGAAAGCAGTATTTTTCACTAGAAATAAGAAGTTGGGCAGACATTCAATAGGGTTGACATATTTCAAGATATGAGCTTTTTTGGAGAGGAGGCTCCCAACAGAATATTAAAAACATGATAAAACATCAAACATTAAAAACTTCCCTAAACAAGGCAGCCTTCAGATGTCTTCTAAAAGTTAGATAGTTGTTTATTTCCTTGACATCTGATGAGAGGGCATTCCACAGGGCGGGTGGTACTACCGAGAAGGCCCTCTGCCTGATTCCCTGTAACCTCACTTTTCACAGTGAGGGAACCACCAGAAGGCCTTTGGCGCTGGACCTCAGCATCTGGGCTGAACAATGGGGGTGGAGATGCTGCTTCAGGTATACTAAACGGCCGAGGCCGTTTAAAGGTCAGCACCAACACTTTGAATTGTGCTCAGAAACGTACTGGGAGCCAGTGTAGGTCTTTCAAGACCGGTGTTATGTGGTCTCGGCAGCTGCTCCCAGTCCCCAGTCTAGCTGCCGCATTCTGGATTAGTTGTAGTTTCCGGGTCACCTTCAAAGGTAGCCTCATGTAGAGTGCATTGCAGTAGTCCCAGCCACAAAAATGCAACATAATGGAGGAAAATGAGGGCAACACCACATTCCTGAATTGTCTCCACCTTAAGTGGATTGTGGGGTTTCCATAGGCATCTGGTTGGCCACAGCAGGAACAGGGTGCTGGGCTAGATGGGCCTTTGGCCTGATCCAGCAGTAACCTTCCTACGTTCGTACTCTCCTCCCAGATTATCACTCACATGAATTGACCAAGTGATACCATTGGTTTAACTCAACCATTTGCCCCTTGAAATCAATGGGTCTTACAAACAACTTTTGCTGGATCAGGGCCCAGGGTAAGGTCTTGCACTCCCCCTTCTCTATGGCAGCCTCTACAGCATAAAGTTCCTTTGGAGGAGTGAGAGCACTGGAGACATATGGCGTGCTTTTCTAATTGTGTTTGTCTCTAAATATATGCACAGAACAGTTTTTTGTTTGTTTGTTTGTTTGTTTGTTTGCACATATTTATAGCCTGTTCTTTGGTCCCAAATACTTTCAGAGTTGCTTACTCAAGGGAGACATCCATCAGCAAAAGCCTCCTACAGATACTTGGAATAGCCAACAGCTTATTAGTAACCATAACTTATTCCCCACATCAATAGCCAGTCCATTTTCAACCCAAAAGAAAGCCAAATAGGATGTCCCTGTTTTCATCAGAGAAATGTTGGAGGGTCTGGAATAGGATGTCCCTATTTTCATCAGAGAAATGTTGGAGGGTATGCCTTTGCAGTGTGCAAAGAACAGTATATATTCTTTTCTCCATTTCAAATATCATTCTTCATAGTCTGTGGGGTGGGGATAGGATGGATACATGGGCATATGAAGATCCATGCATATAATAATAATAATAATAATAATAATAATAATAATAATAATAGCATATGCTATTTTTCTAATAAATAAGGTTATAGATATAGATATATACAGATATATAGTTATATAGATATATAGAATCCTCATCTTCCCCCGCCCCCAGCCTATGTGATGCTTGAAGCTGATGTGAGTTCACAGGCTCACAGATCACTGCTTGGAATCACTGAGCTACAGGAATGTCCCCAAGTACAGCTGTTTCCCCTGCTTCTAATGCAGTTTCTATGTGCAAGAGTCAGCATCCAGAGCCTAAATCAAGGCAGCAGAGTGAGACTAACTCTTACTTAAGGAGCAAAGCCTGTAGTGGATTCTTTTCTGTTTTCTTTACAGTTTTTCAATCAATTATCTTTAAATTTTAGAGATAGCTATATCGATTCTCAGATCTCTCCATGCTCCTAGCCATCAATGGGAGTTCAAGGTTGTCGGAGTTAGCGTTTATCTTATTGATTTTATTCCTTCTCCCCTTGCAATGGACATGGCTGAGACCAATTTTATTAATAATACACCCAGGCTTCCCTCCAATACTTTTGAGGAAAGCTGCAAAGGTTAAACTAGCATATGCTATAGTGTACTTTTCATGAAAACCACACATTTCCATCCTCTGAGGATAGGAACCTTGGTGGCTGAATGATTCTGGAGTTGTGTCGTACATGCCCCAAAGTGTAAAATAGGGATGACGAGCAGTTAGCATCGCACTTGGTGTCATCTTGGAGTCCCTCTGCTTCTCTGCCCAGCACCAGATCTCTTAAGTGTACTGGCCAGTTTTTGTAGTGCTCAACAGAGGTGATGTGTCTTTTTAAAAGGGGCAGGGCTTTGTGTGACTTTTGAAGGCAGGCAATCTGGCCTTGCTTGAATTCCTCAAGCCCAGGGTAGAAAATGCATGAGAGAAGCTTAACACAGGAAGCTGCCTTACACAGAGTTGGACCACCGGTCTATCTATCACAGTACTGTCTATACTGACAGCAGCTCTCTGGGGTTTCAGACTAGGGCCTGTCCCAGGCTGACCTGGAGATGCCAGGGACAGAACCTATGTCCTTCTGCAGGCAAAGTAGATGCTATGTCAATGAGCTAGATTTCTTGCATCTCAGAATAACTAGGTTTAAGCCCCAGTGCCCAGAGGGAGTCAGACAGAAGCTTGCTTATATTGGCTTTGAGAGCAATGAGGCTCACTTGGACTCAGTGCCAGGAACTTGCCTCACAAAATTTGTAGCCCCAGCATAGATGGCAGAAGCACAACCCAAATCAGTTCTGAGTTGGAGACATGAGAGTGGCACGTATTTCCCTGTGAGGCACAAACAGGTAAATGTCAGGGCACACACTGCTAGGGAGTACACCACATTTTTGTGACAGAGAGCATGGACTTTTATTTTACCCATAATGCACCAGAACTTTCAGTGGGTTGCATACTGGGGCAATAGATATGGTAGGTGCTGCAACATGGTTGCCACCTAACGCCCAGGTAGGATGGAGCCCAGGATGGCACCCTCCCAAGGGCTCCCAAACCTTGAA